CTAACTTCAAGATCAATGCGAAGAAGTGCAATTGGGCGAAGACCCAAGTTTTGTATCTAGGCCACGTCTTAGACGGAGACGGCGTTAAGCCAGAAGATAGCAAGATCGCAGCGATTAGAGATTAACCCACGCCACGTACGCTAACAGAGTTGCGCTCATTCCTGGGCTTAGCAAATTACTACAGGAAGTTCGTGAGGAACTTCTCCACCATCGCTGCGCCCCTTCGCAGATTGCTAAGAAAAGAGACAATCTGGAAGTGGGACAAGGACTGCACGTCTGCCATGAAGAAGCTAAAGCAGGTGTTAATAAAATACCCGGTCCTTAAGGTCGCCAATCCGTCCTTGCCTTTTGTCGTTACTACAGATGCTAGCCAGTATGACATAGGCACAGTATTACAGCAAGACGATGGCAATGGCTATAGACCCGTAGAGTTCATGTCCGCCAGAATGCCTTCAGAGAAGGTCGCGACATCTACCTATGAGAGGGAACTCTACGCTCTCAGGCAAGCATTAGACCACTGGAAATACTACTTGCTTGGGAGACACTTCAAAGTCTATTCTGACCATGAAACATTACGATGGTTAAAGACGCAGGCCAAGATGACACCTAAGCTTACTAGGTGGGCCGCAGAGATAGATCAATACGACTTCGAGCTCAAGCCTGTTAAAGGGAAGTACAATGTAGTCGCGGATGCTCTGAGTAGGAGAGCAGATTACTTTGGGGCAATAGTACATTACCTCGATATAGGAAAGGATCTGCAGCAGAAGGTTAGAGAAGCCTACGCGCAGGACCCTATCTATAGTGAGCTCCTCACGCGAGTCAAGTAGGCCCCAGAGACCGAGCCGAACTACCGCACTACTGAAGGGCTACTCTTCGAGAAGACTAATGTATTTGACCGCCTGTGCATTCCCAATAGCGAAGACATTCGTAGTTTGATTTTGGGGGAATGCCACGACACAGAAGGTCATTTCGGTTGGCAAAAGACCTTAGCCAATCTGATGCGCGTGTATACCTGGCCGGGAATGAAGAATGATTGCGTAGAGTATGTTCGCAGTTGTAAAGTCTGCCAGCGTAACAAGTCTTCTACGCGTGCCCCGTTAGGTCTTCTCAGCCCCTTGCCCATTCCCGACCAACCGGGAGACTCAGTGTCCATCGACTTCATGGATACCCAAGTCAAGAGTAGACATGGCAAAAGCCAAGTCATGGTCATAGTTGATCGCTTTAGCAAGTACGCAGTTTTTGTTCCTTTGCCTTCAGAGGCGCGTACCGACTTAGTAATACAGAGGTTTTTTGACTRTTGGGTTAGTGAGAATGGGATTCCACTGTCTATAGTTAGCGATAGAGATAGTCGCTTTACCAGCCAGAACTGGCAAGAACTCATGGGAGTATACGGATCTAAGTTGTTGATGTCGTCCGACCGTCATCCATAGACTAACGGTCAGACAAAGCAAATGAACAAAATCCTACAGCAAGTTCTGCGCATGTACATTAGACCAGATCAAATTAACTGGGATGAGATGTTGCCCAAAGTAGCTAGTGCGTACAATAACAGCGTGCATTTGTCTACATGTCGCACTCCCAACGAACTACACAAGTCCTTTCGACCACGCAGACCGTTTGGGGGACTCAACCGCGATCAGATTCACAGATTGCCGCCCGGGACGAGGGAGTTTGCTGTACAACATGAAAAAGAACTAGCTACTGTTGTAGAAAACCTCAGGAAAGCCCAACATAGGATGATAGAACAAGCGAATAAACATCGTTGCCCCTCACAGTTTCAAGTAGGCGACTTAGTCTGGGTTAGTTCTAAAGAGTTTACACCTGAGGAGAACATCTCGCAGAAGTTACAACCCACCTATAGAGGACCGTGGCCAGTCTTAGAAGTCAAGGGCGGCGAAGACGGACCGTCCTACACTATAGAACTCCCAGCACACCTCCACACTTACCCAGTTTTCCATGCATCAAAGTTATAACCTTGTCAAGCAAGTGATCAGTTTCCATCCCGTAGATCGATGATCCCACCAGATATGGATGGAAAATATGACATTGATGGTATAGTGGCTGAAGATGTCTTCAAAACCGGAGGTAGGGGTCGTCCGCAGAAACAGTACAAGGTTCATTTTAGTTATCAAGAACCGGAAGACGACCGCTGGTTTACGAGATCTGAACTTCTAGAGACAACTCCCGATATAGTCCGGGCCTACGAGAGACAACAGCGAGGTAAAGGTCCTGCCTTGGATTGAAAATTTCTCGGAGGACCTCGAATCTAGGCCGGCGGGAGTGAAACGGTATTCACCAGTTCGAAGTAGCTGATGCAGATCCCAGGGCTCGATCCCTAGTTCCCCAACTTACCTGTGTACAATACCTGTGTCAACTCGAAGAATTGAACCTGCGACCTGTAGAACCGCCTGTGGTAAGTAGGTCTGTCGTAGGTCTATAGGTAGCCAGGATTCGATCTGTAGACCTGTAGATTAGAAGTCTAGCTGCAATCCTTCTAGAAGGTTGGCAAGTGGTCAAGTGGTGCAGGCAAGTGGCCAAGTGTGACTAAAGCAAGCCCACGTTGTAGACGAGGACAAGTGGCGAGGTCAAACAGCAGGACCCCAGTGCAACTGCACTGCGTCGTAGGGTCGTCGCCATGCAGTCAAGGGAGAGTCTAGAAAGTACCAGTCCGGTCCAGCAAGTAACACGGGGGGGACTGTGTGCACCATGGGCCAGGGATACAGGGCAGACCAACGCAGCGCAGAAGTATAAATCAAGAGGCTGCGTCCAGCCATGGATTCATTCCTGCGGATGCCATGCGGAAGCGCTGCCTTAGCAGCTTGTGCGAGGAGGTCTGCAGTGTGCCCGAAGACGAAGTGGGCAGAGAAGTGTAGTGTAGCGATAGGTAGTGGCAGCTAGCGCTGCTAGCGCTGCCATAGCTGTAGCATAGCGTGTGTGTGTGTTGCGTATGATACTGAGTGTTGCGTGTGGGACATCCAGGGTGATCCAGAGTGCGAACAGTGAGTTGTGTGGACGCCTAGTCGCCATAGCCAGTTGAAGAGAACTCATATCTGGTTACGATATCTTAAGTACTGTCAGGGCGCATGTCGCCAGTTGCTGTATCGCTGTTTGCATGCAAGACGAGTGTGAATAATCGGAGTGTGAATGCACAGCAGCACATGCAACTATTTTCATGGTAAGAGATAATGACTCAGCCAAAGGGCTCGCAAGAGCCAAGTCCCCGACTGAAGGCGCCGAAGGCGTTGTTTGTTTCTATATATAGACAGTGTCATCCCCCGTATGTCGTATGGGGGATTTCTGTACGGCCCGTGCGTACGGACGGGCAGACGGACGACGGTCGTACGACGGTGATCTAGGGGCAAAAAAAAACAAAAGAAAAAACAACCCCGAATTTTTTATTTTATTTTTTTACCTTTGAAAGGATTATAAAAAAATCAAAAACAAAAAAGACGAGAAAAAAAAGGAAAAAGAAAGCAACTCGTAGCAAAAAAAAGCGGGCAGTTGTCCCGCATGCATGTGTATGTGTGTGTTCGCGGGGGGGAGGCGATCCCCCCACTGCCAATCAATCAATCAATCAATCAATCAAGAAAAAAACAAAACAAAAAAAAAGGTCGCGCGGGCGTGCGCGCGCGCGCGCGTGTGTGTATGTGTGTGTGTGTGTGTGTGTGTGTTCGCGGGGGGGAGGCGACTGTGTGTGTGTGTGTTCGTGGGGGGGAGGCGACTGTGTGTGTGTGTTGGCGGGGGTGAGGCGACCCCCCCACTGCCAATCAATCAATCAATCAATCAATCAATCAATCAGTCAATCAATCAAAAAACAAACAAAAAAACAAAAAAAGTGTGTGTGTGTGTGTGTGTGTGTGTGTGTGTGTGTGTGTGTGTTATTTGTGTGTGTGTGTGCATGTTCGTAGGGGGAAGGCAACCCCCCCACTGCCAATCAATCAATCAATCAATCAATCAATAAAAAAAAACAAAAAAAAAGGCCGCACGTTTGTGTGTGTGTGTGTGTGTGTGTGTGTTCGCGGGGAGGAGGCGACCCCCCCACTCTAGGGACTTCTAGCAACTCGCTTTAGGCTGTTTGACACTGGTATGTTCATGGATCTGCGGTTGTCGATGCCAGAACGACACTGACCTTTGTAGGGGTGTTACCCTGTAACCTGCTGATTGCAAGAGCGTGAGGCCTGGTAGAGAGATTTGGGGATGTTTTGGGGTGGGCATTCCAAGAGACAACCAAGGGTTTGCTGTTGGGACGACACTGGCCGGAGCTGGGGTGAGTCGTGTTGCTCTGTAGCCCAGCCGGGTGGGCGTGTGAGGCCTGGGAGAGCTCGACAGGGAATAAGACAGTGTTGGACAGTTTCAGAGAGTTTGTTTGGGAGTGTAGGGGTTTTGAGCATTCAAATACATTGGCTCCCGAGTTTTGTTTGGGAGTGTAGGGGTTCTGAGCATTCGAATACATCGGCTCCCGAGTTATCTGAATTGGTTCTCATTCTTGAGAAGTATGTTCGTTGATTTAGGTTGTTTACGGGGGGTTTTGAGAATGCGTTAGGATTTTGGGGACTTCTAGCAACTCACTTTAGGCTGTTTGATACTGGTACATTCATGGATTTGCGGTTGTTCGATGCCAGAACGACGCTGGCCGGTGCTGGGGTGTTGCCCTGTAACCTGCTGATTGCAGGAGCGTGAGGCCTAGTAGAGAGCTCTGGGGATGCTTTGGGGTGGGCATTCCAAGGGACAACCAAGGGTTGCTGTTAGGACGACGCTGATCGGAGCTGGGACGAATCGCGGTGTTCTGTAACCTAGTCGGGTGGGGGTGTGAGGCCTTGGAGAGGTCGACAGGGAATAAGACAGTATTGGACAGTTTTAGAGAGTTTTGTTTGAGAGTCTAGGGGTTCTGAGCATTCGAAAAGAGGCCACTAGTTATTCATAGATTTCCAACCTCTCTTTTCTTGAATTTCCTCAATATTCGGCCCCGGTATCTCAAATGACTTGTGTAACTCTACATGGGACGCCCGGTTCCCTGCACGTGCTGCTCGCCACGAATAGATTGGAGCATCTGC